TAAAGTGACTTCTGGTCAACCTAATGATGTATAATACCGGTATAAGGTTACCTCTGGTTCCCCCTACTTATGTACAATTTAATGTGACCTCTGGTCCTCCTAATGATGTCCCCTAATGATGTACAATATAAGGTGTCCTCTGGTCCCCCTACTGATGTACAGTACAGTATAAGGTTTATGGAGAGAACGATCATAGGCATTTATGCCTGCTGTTCAATCCATTTCTGTGAATAAAATATATGTTAAACTAGAATAAGGTGTCCCCTGGTCATTCTACTGATGTACAATATAAGAGGACCTCTGGTCCCCTTACTAATGTACAATATAAGGTGACCACTGGTCCCCCTACTGATGTACAATATAAGGTGTCCTCTTGTCCCCCTATTGATGTACAATATAAGGTGACCTCTGGTTCCCCTACCAATGTACAATATAAGGAGACCTCTGGTCCCCCTACTGATGTGCAATATGATAACCTCTGGAACCCTCACTGATGTAAGGCGCAATATAAGGTGTCCTCTGCCCCCTACTGATGTACAATATAAGGTGAACCTAATGATTTATAATACCGGTAGGAAGTTACCTCTGGTCCCCCTACTGATGTAAAATATAAGGTGACCTCTGGTCCCCCGACTGATCTATAATATAAGGTGACCTCTGGTCCCCCTAATGATGTACAATATAAGGTGGCCTCTGGTCTCCTTACTTATGTACTATAAAAGGTGACCTCTGGTCCCCCTTCTGATGCAACATAAGGTGACCTCTGGTCCCCCTACCGATGTACAATATAAGGTGTCCTATGGTCCCCTACTGATGTACAATATAAGGTGACCTCTATTTATTTCTTTTTAAATGTAGTTTTGATTGATTTATGAATTTGATATGTTAATTCTAGAGAAAGGGGAGGAGATCTCCATGCAGCCGCAAACTTCGCAATACAGGGGGTACATCTTTGTAAGATAATTAAAATCAGGGGTTTACTTTAAAGTGTTAAAGTGATGAGGTCGCCCATTTGAACATGACCTCATAAGGAAGATGAAGGAGACATTAAATAATTCATTAACAAATAATTATTCCATTATGTTAAAGGATCGGTGATAAGTCCGAGCGAAATGAAGGGTGGAAAGGGGCAAGATCTCCCCCCCCCCGGCGGGGTAGAGATCTGCGAATGCAGAAACTGGACGTCGTTTACTCTGAGTCGCTTAATATTAGTAAGGATATCAGAGATTGGGCACTGCTATATATAGATACTATAACCTTACATGGAATAAAATCATAGGGGAGACCACAGGTCACCCACCGTAATCCATAAATGTTAAACTCTTATATGCAGTTATGCATATATGCAGTATATATAAGGAGCAGATCGCTACTTGGTTCAATGCATTTCACTGTAGAGATCCAACGAGTATAGACGTACATCTTACACTGCGTGCTACTCCACGTCGATGAAATTATCAAATTTTACGTATTTTTTCCGAAACAGGACAAAAGTGTCATTAAAAATACAAGTCAATACATTATTTACAAACACAAAAATACACATAAAATCAAGAAGTAAACGCAAAAAATCTAAGGCCACGAAAGAAGTACTACATGTTGGCCACGAGTTTCGAGTGTGCAATCGGGTGTAACGAAATCGAACGGTTTATATACCCGTCTGACGGTGCCTATTTATGAGAAGTGTTCAGCTTTAATTCTTATCGAACGTCAAATGGTCATAAAGACATGCTAATTTTTTTTAGAAAAGAGGAAGCAATTTTCGTTAAAATTTAAATAAAATATACTTAGTATATGGATTAACAAACAGTATTCAAGCTCAAAAGTCCATTAAACAATACAAAATTAGAGCAGGGCAAACACGGACCTCTAAAACATCAGTGATTGGATCAGGTGCCATGCAGAAGTGAGCTTGCCTGCCGACTCGTCACACTCACCGCATGCTCTTTGTCATGCATGATCGGGAAATAACAGAAAATCCGTCTAGAGTACATATTTAATGGCCTAAAAATATGTATGAAAAAAATACATTAGTTTCTGTTGTTTAATGGACTTCGGAGCTTGAAAACTGTTCGTTGTATCCATATATTTCATTTAACGAAAATTACTTCTTCTTTATCGTTATTTATATATATTTTACCAATTTATGCTTTTTTTCCCTTTTCATTGTTTTCGGGAGAACAGCTGTTAGGGAATATATTTGCAAGAAATGCAGAGTATATAGTAATAGTATATACATGTACTATCTTAAAATACAGAAGATGAAGATAACGACCGATGATCGATCTCATAAATCTTCACACAATACAAATCTGTGAACAGGGCTTAAACACGGAACATGAAAATCCCAGGGCTGGGGTCAGGGCCTAGGGGGAGAAAGAATCCCCTGTCGACCGGTCATACCCGTCCTGGGGCCTATTTATTGAAAAAATAGACGACAACACAGAGTCTGACACTTCTGTGTCATATTCATTGGGATATTTTACTAGCATCCACAAGTCAAATTTTATATTTAGTATTTACCACTTGTATTATATATCAAATTAAAGCTTATTAAAAATCATTTAAGAAAAATATAATTTTGAGATTTTATTGTCACGCGCTGTTACTAAAAATAGACTGCGAAATTTAAGGGTATTGGTCTTGTGTGTGACCACTTTTCTGAAATAAATTAAATGCATCACTTATGGCAAAATTTAAAGTTAGATGTTAAATATATATTTTTACCTTTCTTTTTTCTGTTACTGAGAATCATGATTATTAAATTTCATTGCATAAAACATCTAGATTGGCCTGTATCACTTGTCATTGAGGGCCTACTTCCTGTACATTTAGCCGAGACACACGATAAAAATGCAACGTTACGCCAACGTTATGCTCAGAAAAAGAGGTTAAAAATAAAATCAATAAACCTGATCACAAATTTATTTTAAAACAAGTAAAAAAAACTAAGTTATATCAACTGTTGAGGATTATATCATATTTAGCAAGTGAAACCCCCCAATAGAGCATACTTTACTGGGTTATATCTTTTAAAATATTGTCATATTTTATTACTTTAAGGTTGACTTTTTTTCTTGAAAAGAGGGGAAAACCAATGATTACAATGTAATATGAATGAAATTGATAATAAAATAAAATACAACAATTGCAATAAAGCGTTTTTAATTTTTTTAATTGACATTTTCTATTTATTACCCCTGTCGAAAAATAATCATTATTATAATGTGTAGATTTTGTATGAAAACAGTGCACTATCCATTGTGTTAGTTTTTGACAGCACACGATTATTTTTCTCCTTTTTCAAAAGTTTAGGTTTTATTGTTTTAAAACACAAACATTAAGGCAAAACATGCAAAAAATATAAAAATATGTTGCTGTTTTTAAATTTCAGAAACAAATTCTGTTACAAGGATTTAAATTTAAATACGACCTAAACAAAATATCAACTTTGTTTGGTAGTGTATAAAAGTTTACTATTGCCAAAAATTTTCATCATATCAGTAAATATTGTGATTTCTTTTCTCAAAGAAAATCATCTCTATCAACAGAATATTACACTGACTTCAGAACTTATAACAAATTGGCAATGAGTTCTTTGTAGGAGAGTGTGCATCTGTTACCATTGTCTCCTTTCTTAGTGAATTTATAAAGTTCTCTTTCTGTAACACATTGTTTCAAAACATTTTTTGTATACCGCAATTGTGCCTTAATGGCCTTGATTTTTTTCCTTGACACGACTGAGCTCATTTACTTTCAATTTACATTCCTTTTGAGATTTCCATAACCCATAGGAAACAATTTCATCGCTCTGTTTTTCAAGACGATGTAACCTTTTTCTTTGAACTTCTGCTTTGTTTTGAAAATCTTGCTCCTGTCGCTCTTCTCTTTTTTGCTGTATTTCTCTTCTCCGTCTTTCAAAGCTTTATCTTTCCGTTTGTACAGATTTTCTGGCTTCTGAAATGAGAATTTCCGTGTTTTCTTCTTTACTTTGTAACCAGTCGGATGTTTTATTCAGCAAAAATAGCGTGTAGGCTTCAATTGCAAGAGTAGATTTGTTAGGCTTACTTCTTAAAATATTACTTCTTAATATTTTGTCACCATTCAAGTTATTTGGCGAGAGAGCAGGAAATTTTCCCTTTATAAATTCTGGCAAATTTTGACAAGCATCTGTTAAATACGTTGATAAACGAAGGTAGTGGTAAGACATACTTTCAATAGAGAGTTCTCTGCTTTCAAGCAGATTCCATAAAGGAGTTGTGATCAATTTTGCAACAAGACCTAAAGCTTTCAATCCTGCGACATAAAATGAAACCTTAAGATCCGCAAGTACAGACATAAGGAGTCTCTTACTCTCGATGCATGATTTTTCAAGAAAATCAATCATGTGAGAATGGAGATAAAATATACAAGCTGCATTTTGAAACAAAATATTGAACCTATTTCCCTTAAACGGCTGTAATGGAAGGGATATGATACCATTGTGCTGAAGAAATGGCTGCATGTATGTTCTAAAACTCCCAAAACACCCACTTTTTTCATCTCCGCGCCTAGCAAAAGCTTTGCATGCATTTCGAATCAATCGAAAGCAACCTGACTCCCCTTCTTTAGAAAATCCCTCCTGATAGATTGGTGGGTCCTCTTGAAAATTCCCTTCTCTGTTTCGAACAAACATTTTTGGGCAGCATTGGCCATGTGAACTAGTCCATGAAGACCGCAAAAAAAGTTATTCAGTCTATTGACTGCTTCTTTCCCATCAATATCTAAAGTGTCGTAATCTTTTCGTATTTGTGGAAGAAGACTCTGTCTGTATATCTCTAGTAGTTCGTTGAATTTTAATTCAGTTGCTGCTCTATCACTCATTGTGTTTTGTATGTTGCCCAAAATTTTGTTCCCGCTATTTTCAAGAGTTTTATTGTTTGCATCAGATATATCCTCTAAAATATGTTTAAATTTGTCTAAAGTATTCTCTGCTGACTTGGTTGCCATTTCACGCAGTCCTAAAACAAAATATGATCCCTCTTCGTCGCGAAGCGAGAACCCACCATACTTTAGGCCATATTTCGAAGTTTCATCTGTATGTAACGTAGTATTCCTTTTCTCGGGTAACATTTCTTCTAGTTGTTTTTTAGCGAGTGAAAGACGTTGTATGTTCATATTTGCGATAGTTGATTGACATGGAAGATGATCAGCTTTTTTCCCTGCCAATTTTAAACACGCCTCAATGGTTGGTCCTATAAAAAGAAGTATAAAGATTACTTATTACATGTATGACGTAACTAAAAAATTTATCTTACATATAAGTTAGAGGTACATAAAAAATGATTCTTTCTCTACTTTTTGAAGGAGCACGCACAATAAAACACAAACATAACACACAAACTCAGGATGTACCAAAGTATTAGCACTTACCAATTTGGGTAGCAGGAACATTGTGTTCAAGAAGACTGTATACACATAGATGAAGCTGAGGTGTGAAGGTTTTCTCTTTTTTATTAAACAAGCGAATCACATCATTTTCCTTTGCTTCTTGTAATAGCTCAGACATTGCTGAAATTTCCTCCTCTTTCTCCTTTAATGTTTTCCTTAGTTCTCTGACAACATCGTTGAGGTCATCATTTTCGTCTTGTAATTCGCTTATGGATTTGCGACATTCCTCTACAGATGAATCTGCTGAAGTTTCTAAGCGGGTACATTTCGTTTTCCAGTATTCTTCTCTTCTTTTTGTTCGTTTGGTTTCTTGCTTTGAATCATTTAACTTCTCGCGAAGAATTTCCTTTTTCTTCGTTACTTCGTCTGAATAACTGCTTATACATTGTATGCTGGAATTTTGTTTTGACATAACTGATTCTAATCTTGATTTCTCTGTGACAAGACTTTGATTTTCAAGAATAAGTGATTTGGCAATTTAGATTGCCGTGGAAGAAGCATCACCATCTGAGCTAATTAAATATGATGATTCAGAAACCCTGGGTTTACTTTTAGACATCTTAGGTGGAACAAATTCCGTATCCAGGAATTCTTTGAATTTACTTCCCTCATTCAGACCATATGTCTTTCTAAGCTTCACATACTGAGTCCATAGCCTTGAAACTGCTACCTTAGTGGAGGTAAAATTGCAGTTTTGTGAGTTTTCAAAAACCCATTGAGCAGTCTTGGATGCTCCACATTCTTTTCTCAAGCTAATAATGTCAGAATTGAAAATTTTGATGTTTGAAGTGGACATTTCATTAAAAGATTGCAGCAAACTAACCATGAATATCACTGGTAGTAGCATATTATAGAATCTGAAAGGGGAAAGATGAGACAAAAATTTAATTTAAATTACATGATATTTAGGTTAAAAAATACATGTACATGTAAATTTCCGTAAACTGTATTAAAGATTGTCCAAATTGTCTGCGAATTGCTAGATTGTTAGATTAAGCTCTTACTATATCATTCTCTCTCTCCCCCCTCTCTCTCTCTTTCTTTAATTCCTCGCTTTCTCCCTCTCATGTTTGTTTGTTGTTTAACGTCCCTGATCAAACAATCTGAATCAAAATGTCTACACAACACAGTTAATGCAAAATTAAGCAGATCTACAGGCTGGCACGTAGCAACAGATGAAAGGGGGGGGGGGGAGGGGGCAGACCCACCCACCCCACACACACACACACACACACACTTTTTTCCAAACAGAAATTTAACTGTTGAAAATGTTCATTGAAAGCTGGTTGCCCCCTTTTTTGCTACAGGAAATTGATATAGGGTAATGTAGTTTTTTTTATATTAAAAAAATTGGTACCCCCCCCCACACACACACACACACATATACACACGAAACAGGATTTTCAAGTTTGAGCAATATATATTCCTTGTTTTGCTTGTTAAATTTTTTCAGGTAAGTAATTTTTTTTCTCTGACTGCCCCCCCCCCAACCTTTAAAAGCGATGCTACCTCACTGACGGGTATGAGCCTACCTTGCAAATGATTTAAAAATAAATAAAAATGTTTAAAAATAGATAATAATATTATCAAGCAAAAAATCCATCCATGCCTGTCCCTCGAGGGAAAATGTATAGTATATCACTATTTTTACTAATATGGTGTGTATAAATATTATTTCTTAATAAAGAAAAATACAAATTCAATTACAATACAGTATGTCAATGTGTGGATATAAACTGTATGGTATTAAGACAATGCAAATGAAGGCTGTGATAGTAAAACTATATTCCTCATAAAAACCATAATTTTCTATTACATTAATTTTTAAACATCATCCTCTAGAATTTATCATACGATAAATTAAGCTTTATTATTAATTTAGCAACTAACTTAAAAAAATTTTAACACTCCTTTAGATAAACAATAAAAAGGGTTTTATATATTATTTTTCCTTTTTTTTTTTTTATGTATTTATTTATTTATTTATTGTTTTTTTTTTTTTTAAATCATAAATTACGAGGGTCATTCAAAAAATACGTAGACAATGTCCTCCATCATCATATTATTCTTACAAAAATTTAGATCAACACATTTTTATATGTAAAAACATTTATTTTGTCAGTGTGTAAAGTTTCATTCCATTTGTTTTAAAAGGAACTCGTGTTAGACAATTTTAAAAGTAACATATTTTGTCACCACGGAGCATGGTTAACAATACTATGGTATCAAAAACAACGTCGGAAAATTTTCTTAAAATTACTCTGCCTTTTCATTTCATCCACAGTTTGTTGCTTCATCTGGATTCTTGAAACTAAAGCCCTTTACACCTAGTTCAGTAACAATTGTTTGAGTACCTTAAGTAAAATGAAAATATTTTAAATTGAAAGTTAAATTTCAAATTCTTTATCGCGTAACTCTTGTTTTCACAAGTTCCGCAAAAGTGAATCGCAAATCACATTTTATGACGTTACTAACTCTTTGACAAGATTTTTTACTATAATTTGTTTCTTCGCAGATCGTTCGTGGTCCGATTCCAAGTCTGTAACACTCAAACAATGGTCATTCCCATTATAAACAAATGCATAGCATTTTGCATCAATTTCCTGGTTCATCAAGCATTCTCAGAGTTTCTTTTAAAGGTTTCCCGAATGCAAAACAAAATTTTATCGGTACTCCTAACTCCACGTCCTTCGACGTCATCATTTTTTGCTTCTTTTCATGAAGTCTATCTGCCTTTAAAGATTGATATCTTTTAAACGAAGTGATGTATCACATTAAATTTTAGCATATGCAGTAATTGAACAATTTTGAATTTAAACATTTCAATTTTATTTCATTTAAGAGCCATTTATTAGAGATACGACTCTAGACATTATAAAGTGTATAATTAGAAAATAGGTCAATTTTGACCCTGCTCCGTACCCCATTTTTTCTGTCTTAAATCTTTGATAATTTTGATAATTATCAAGATATTTTCCAATTTTTTTGCTCAAATTATTTGAATTCATTGTTACAATATGTGTAAAAAAAATTTGGTTTTAATATGACGTTAAATAAAAAAGTTATGACAAAAGTCTACGAACTTTTTGAATGACCCTCGTATTGCTTAAAAATTACAACATGCTTTTTTCTTTTCTTTTCTTTTTTTTTTTATAGATATTTACCCAGTTCTCATCATTGATTCATGTAATATATTAATTTAGTGACATTTATAAATGAATTTTAGCATGAAATTCTAAAAAAAAAAATACCTCCTTTGGCACCCCATAAGAAAGACATGCAGAGTTACACCCCTCTGAAAATCCATAGTTACAGTAAACAAACTCCATTACAAAACAGTTTAGCCCATAGGCGCTCCCCATGTAATTCTGTAAATGACGTATGATAAGTATATATAGGTCTACCCCTCTATACTATAAAATGGATATTTTATAGTATAGAGGGGTAGACCTATATATACTTATCATACGTCATTTACAGAATTACATGGGGAGCGCCTATGGTTTAGCCTAGTAGGCGTGAAAATGACGTTAAATGAAGTAATTCGCGAAATATGTTGTGTTGTTATTTGAAGGATCGCTTTTTAGCGCCGATGTTAGGGAAAATAATCTACACAGTTTCTTAAAGAAGAGACGATTCTCTTTCGATCTATTATTGTAACACATATGCAACCGGCTCAGCATACGAGTGAAAAATCGCTCTGAAAAAAAGCTTACGTTTGACGATCTATTATCATAGCAATTAAGTAAAATAGTCGGACATGTTTGATATCATTATACTCACCATGATCTTCTCCACCTACTTTTGTACAAAAAAGCAGACTAATACCTCTGTAGTCCTGGTAACGGAGGAATAAAAGAACGCGGTTTTTAGGACGTGTTAAATTCGTGACGTTTTATTTCAGAACATGTTCCAACAATGAAGCGGAATATAAAAAAGCATAAAACAATAAAAAATTTAAAATTATAATATTCAGATAGTTAAACAATTTGTCTTTACAGTTCAATTAGATTTTTTGATGTTGTAGATATGAAAATGTGTTAAATACGCTCTTTAAAACTGGTAGTTTTGTATACTGTCACATAGCGTAATAAATAACGTAAAATGACTTGTGGATGCTAATTTTACTTAAAAGGGACGTTAATGCATGGTAATCTAACAAACATGCTCTATGATAAACGTGATATCCTTACTTTTTCAATCGTCAACTTCCCCTACTAATGCAGCAATACATTGTTTACCTTTGTCACCTGCATACGGGGTTTATATCTCTCAATTGATTCGATATGCAAGAGCATGCTCTACGTATATATACAATTACAATTTATCATTGAGTCCAATGCTGACAGACATTTTTCATATTAATTGTTAATCCATTATTTATACACTGAATTGACGACGGATTTTTCCGCTCTTTCCCGATCATGACAAGGAGCATATGGCGGGTGTGACCGGTCGGCAGAGAATGCTCCACTCTTCCTCGGCACCTGATCCCTCCTCTGATGTTTTTGGAGGTCCGTGTTTGCTCTCCTCCTATTTATATTATACCCCCCTAAAAACTTCGTATATAGGAATCACCTTGTCCGTCTGTCCGTCCGTCCGTCTGTCTAGCTGTGCAAACGACAGTCCGGTCCATATCTTTCTTACGGAGGAATATTAGTATCTACTACTCCACACAAACATTGCCCATGACCTAATGGTGTGTCATGATCTTGACCCAAGGTCATTTGATGAAATTCAAGGTCACTGGAAGAAAAAATTCATAATTTGTGTCCGGTCCATATCTTTCTTATAGATAAACTTGGAAGGTTCTAATTTCACACAAAGATTGCTTATAACCTAAGGGTGTGTCATGACCTTGACAAAGGTCATTTGGGGAAGTTCAAGGTCACTGGAAGAAAAATTTCATAATTTGTGTCCAGTCCATATCTTTTTTATAGATAAACTTGGTAGATTCTCATTTCACACAAAGATTCCTCCTAACCTAAGAATGTGTCATGACCTGGGTCAAGATCATTTGGGGAAGTTCAAGGTCACTGGAAGAAACATTTTATAACTCTTGTCTGGTCCATATCTTTCTTATGGATAAACTTGGTAAGTTCTCATTTCACACAAAGATTGCTCAAGATCTAAGGATGTGTCATGACCTTGGGTCTAGGTCATTTCGGGAAGTTCAAGGTCACTGGAGGGAAAATTTTATAATTTGTGTCCGGTCTATATCTTTCATTATTATGGAAAAACTTGAATCTACTACTTCACACAAACATTGCTTATGACCTGAGGTTGTGTCATGACTTTGTAACAAGGTCATTTATGCAAGTTCAAGGTCACTGACAGAAAAAGTTCATAATTCGTGTCTGGTCCGTATATTTAGTCTATTTTTTATTAGGCTGAGCCTTTGTTTCATTTATCAAAAATATAATGAGCAATTACATTTGCACTAAAAATGTTTTAGCATTTCTCTCTTCTCTTAAATCCATAAAATATTCATGATTTATGACCTCTGAAAAACCCAGCGGGGGGGGGGGGGGTATTTTGTCCCGTTTGGACAGTTCTAGTTTGTTTTGTTTTATGGACTTTGAACTTGAATACTGTTCGTTATCTCCATATGTTTCACGTAGAAGTTTTTTTTTTAATAAATTCTGCTTCATAGGAATATAAAAAGGTCGGATAAAAGAGGGGCACAATTAGCATCTATAGGGTTCCAACTGTTTGTTGGAAGACTTGGTCTCCGAAGATTACCACAGGTACTTGGGTCGTGGTTTATAAATATGTATAATGTACCTTATTGATACT